CCCTAACATCTTGCACTAACTCCCTTCACATCTTGCACTGACTCCTTTAACATCTTGCAGTAACTCCTTCACATCTTGCACTGACTCCCCTAACATCTTGCACTAACTCCCTTCACATCTTGCACTGACTCCTTTAACATCTTGCACTAACTCCCTTCACATCTTGCAGTAACTCCTTTAACATCTTGCACTAACTCCCCTAACATCTTGCACTTACTACCTTCACATCTTGCACTGACTCCTTTAACATCTTGCACTCAACTCCCTTCACATCTTGCACTGACTCCTTTAACATCTTGCACTAACTCCCTTCACATCTTGCACTAACTCCCTTCACATCTTGCAGTAACTCCCTTAACATCTTGCACTGACTCCCCTAACATCTTGCATTAACTCCCTTCTCATCTTGCACTAACTCCTTCACATTTTGCTCTAACTCCTTCACGTCCTGCAACTAACTCCTTCACGTCCTGCACTAACTCCGACAACATCTTGCACTAACTTTAACAACATCTTGCACTAACTCCCTTAACATCTTGCCCTAACTCCCATATCATCAGTAACTCCTTCACATCTTGCACTAACTCCCTTCACAACTTGAAGTAACTCCTTCACATCTTGCACGGACTCCGACAACATATTGCACTCACTCCAACAACATCCTGCAACTCCCATAAAATCTTGCAGTAACTCCCATATCATCTTGCACTGACTCCTTTAACATCTTGCAGTAACTCCTTCACATCTTGCAGTAACTCCTTTAACATCTTGCACTAACTCCCCTAACATCTTGCAGTAACTACCTTCACATCTTGCACTGACTCCTTTAACATCTTGCACTAACTCCCCCTTCACATCTTGCACTGACTCCCTTCACATCTTGCAGTAACTCCCTTAACATCTTGCACTGACTCCCCTAACATCCTGCACTAACTCCCTTCACATCTTGCACTGACTCCTTTAACATCTTGCAGTAACTCCTTCACATCTTGCACTGACTCCCCTAACATCTTGCACTAACTCCCTTCACATCTTGCACTGACTCCTTTAACATCTTGCACTAACTCCCTTCACATCTTGCAGTAACTCCTTTAACATCTTGCACTAACTCCCTAACATCTTGCACTTACTACCTTCACATCTTGCACTGACTCCTTTAACATCTTGCACTAACTCCCTTCACATCTTGCACTGACTCCTTTAACATCTTGCATTAACTCCCTTCTCATCTTGCACTAACTCCTTCACATTTTGCTCTAACTCCTTCACGTCCTGCAACTAACTCCTTCACGTCCTGCAACTAACTCCTTCACGTCCTGCACTAACTCCTTCACATCTTGCACTAACTCCTTTACATCTTGCATTAACTCCATTCACGTCTTGCTGTAACTCCTTCACATCTTGCACTAACTCCTTCACATTTTGCTCTAACTCCTTCACGTCCTGCAACTAACTCCTTCACGTCCTGCACTAACTCCTTCACGTCCTGCACTCAACTCCTTCACATCTTGCACCAACTCCCTTTTACATCTTGCATTAACCCATTCATGTCTTGCTGTAACTCTCTTCACATCTTGCACTAACTCCCTTCACATTTTGCAGTAACTCCTTCACGTCCTGCACTCAACTCCTTTCACGTCCTGCACTAACTCCTTCACGTCCTGCACTAACTCCTTCACGTCCTGCAATGAACTCCTTCACATCTTGCACTAACTCCTTTTTACATCTTGCAGTAACTCCTTCACATCTTGCACTGACTCCTTTAACATCTTGCACTAACTCCCTTCACATCTTGCACTAACTCCCTTCACATCTTGCAGTAACTCCCTTAACATCTTGCACTGACTCCCCTAACATCTTGCACTAACTACCTTCACATCTTGCACTAACTCCCTTCACATCTTGCATTAACTCCCTTCTCATCTTGCACTCCAACTCCTTCACATTTTGCTCTAACTCCTTCACGTCCTGCAACTAATTCTTCACGTCCTGCACTAACTCCTTCACGTCCTGCACCCAACTCCTTTCAACATCTTGCACTAACTCCTTTACATCTTGCATTAACTCCATTCACGTCTTGCTGTAACTCCCTTCACATCTTGCACTAACTCCTTCACATTTTGTTTCTAACTCCTTCACGTCCTGCAACTAACTCCTTCACGTCCTGCACTAACTCCTCACGTCCTGCACCAACTCCTTCACATCTTGCACTCAACTCCTTTTACATCTTGCATTAACTCCATTCATGTCTTGCTGTAACTCCTCTTCACATCTTGCACCAACTCTTCACATTTTGCAGTAACTCCTTCACGTCCTGCACTAACTCCTTCACGTCCTGCACTAACTCCTTCACGTCCTGCACTAACTCCTTCACGTCCTGCACTAACTCCTCTCACATCTTGCACTAACTCCTTTACATCTTGCAGCAACTCCTTCACATCTTGCAGTAACTCCTTCACATCTTGCACTGACTCCTTTTACGTCTTGCACTAACTCCTTCACGTCTTGCACTCACTCACATCTTGCACTGTCTCCTTCACATCTTGCATTGACTCTTTCACATCTTGCACAACTCCTTCACATGTTGCACTGACTCGTCACATCTTGCCTCACCTGACAACATCTTGCAACTCCCATAACATCTTGCTCTCACTCACATCTTGCACTGTCTCCCTTCACATCTTCCAGTAACTCCTTCACGTCCTGCACTCAACTCCTTTCACGTCCTGCACCAACCCTTCACATCTTGCACTAACTCCCTTTACATATCTTGCAGTAACTCCTTCACATCTTGCAGTAACTGCTTCACATCTTGCACTGACTCCTTTACGTCTTGCACTAACTCCTTCACGTCTTGCACTCACTCACATCTTGCACTGTCTCCTTCACATCTTGCATTGACTCTTTCACATCTTGCACTAACTCCTTCACATGTTGCACTGACTCGTTCACATCTTGCCTCACTCCGACAACATCTTGCAACTCCCATAACATCTTGCTCTCACTCACATCTTGCACTGTCTCCTTCACATCTTCCAGTAACTCCTTCACATCTTGCACTAACTCCGACAACATCTTGCACTCCCTCACATCTTGCACAAACTCCCTACACATCCTGCACTAACTCCGACAACATCTTGCACTAACTTTAACAACATCTTGCACTAACTCCCTTAACATCTTGCCCTAACTCCCATATCATCTTGCAGTAACTCCTTCACATCTTGCACTAACTCCCTTCACAACTTGAAGTAACTCCTTCACATCTTGCACGGACTCCGACAACATATTGCACTCACTCCAACAACATCCTGCAACTCCTATAAAATCTTTGCAGTAACTCCCATATCATCTTGCACTGACTCCCTTTAACATCTTGCAGTAACTCCTTCACATCTTGCAGTAACTCCTTTAACATCTTGCACTAACTCCCCTAACATCTTTGCAGTAACTACCTTCACATCTTGCACTGACTCTCCTTTAACATCTTGCACTAACTCCCTTCACATCTTGCACTGACTCTTCACATCTTGCAGTAACTCCCTTTAACATCTTGCACTGACTCCTAACATCTTGCACTAACTCCTCTCACATCTTGCACTGACTCCTTTAACATCTTGCAGTAACTCCTTCACATCTTGCACTGACTCTCTAACATCTTGCACTAACTCCCTTCACATCTTGCACTGACTCTCTTTTAACATCTTGCACTAACTCCCTTCACATCTTGCAGTAACTCCTTTAACATCTTGCACTAACTCCCCTAACATCTTGCACTTACTACCTTCACATCTTGCACTGACTCCTTTAACATCTTGCACTAACTCCCTTCACATCTTGCACTGACTCCTTTAACATCTTGCACTAACTCCCTTCACATCTTGCACTAACTCCCTTCACATCTTGCAGTAACTCCCTTAACATCTTGCACTGACTCCCCTAACATCTTGCATTAACTCCCTTCTCATCTTGCACTAACTCCTTCACATTTTGCTCTAACTCCTTCACGTCCTGCAACTAACTCCTTCACGTCCTGCACTAACTCCGACAACATCTTGCACTAACTTTAACAACATCTTGCACTAACTCCCTTAACATCTTGCCCTAACTCCCATATCATCAGTAACTCCTTCACATCTTGCACTAACTCCTTCACAACTTGAAGTAACTCTTCACATCTTGCACGGACTCCGACAACATATTGCACTCACTCCAACAACATCCTGCAACTCCCATAAAATCTTGTAACTCCCATATCATCTTGCACTGACTCCTTTAACATCTTGCAGTAACTCCTTCACATCTTGCAGTAACTCCTTTAACATCTTGCACTAACTCCCTAACATCTTGCAGTAACTACCTTCACATCTTGCACTGACTCCTTTAACATCTTGCACTAACTCCCTTCACATCTTGCACTGACTCTCTTCACATCTTGCAGTAACTCCTTTAACATCTTGCACTGACTCTAACATCCTGCACTAACTCCCTTCACATCTTGCACTGACTCCTTTTAACATCTTGCAGTAACTCCTTCACATCTTGCACTGACTCCCCTAACATCTTGCACTAACTCCCTTCACATCTTGCACTGACTCCTTTAACATCTTGCACTAACTCCCTTCACATCTTGCAGTAACTCCTTTTAACATCTTGCACTAACTCCCCTAACATCTTGCACTCCCTTACTACCTTCTCACATCTTGCACTGACTCCTTTAACATCTTGCACTAACTAACTCCTTCACATCTTGCACTGACTCCTTTAACATCTTGCATTAACTCCCTTCTCATCTTGCACTAACTCCTTCACATTTTGCTCTAACTCCTTCACGTCCTGCAACTAACTCCTTCACGTCCTGCAACTAACTCCTTCACGTCCTGCACTAACTCCTTCACATCTTGCACTAACTCCTTTACATCTTGCATTAACTCCATTCACGTCTTGCTGTAACTCCTTCACATCTTGCACTAACTCCTTCACATTTTGCTCTAACTCCTTCACGTCCTGCAACTAACTCCTTCACGTCCTGCACTAACTCCTTCACGTCCTGCACTAACTCCTTCACATCTTGCACTAACTCCTTTACATCTTGCATTAACTCCATTCATGTCTTGCTGTAACTCCTTCACATCTTGCACTAACTCCTTCACATTTTGCAGTAACTCCTTCACGTCCTGCACTAACTCCTTCACGTCCTGCACTAACTCCTTCACGTCCTGCACTAACTCCTTCACGTCCTGCACGAACTCCTTCACATCTTGCACTAACTCCTTTACATCTTGCAGTAACTCCTTCACATCTTGCACTGACTCCTTTAACATCTTGCACTAACTCCCTTCACATCTTGCACTAACTCCCTTCACATCTTGCAGTAACTCCCTTAACATCTTGCACTGACTCCCCTAACATCTTGCACTAACTACCTTCACATCTTGCACTAACTCCCTTCACATCTTGCATTAACTCCCTTCTCATCTTGCACTAACTCCTTCACATTTTGCTCTAACTCCTTCACGTCCTGCAACTAATTCCTTCACGTCCTGCACTAACTCCTTCACGTCCTGCACTAACTCCTTCACATCTTGCACTAACTCCTTTACATCTTGCATTAACTCCATTCACGTCTTGCTGTAACTCCTTCACATCTTGCACTAACTCCTTCACATTTTGCTCTAACTCCTTCACGTCCTGCAACTAACTCCTTCACGTCCTGCACTAACTCCTTCACGTCCTGCACTAACTCCTTCACATCTTGCACTAACTCCTTTACATCTTGCATTAACTCCATTCATGTCTTGCTGTAACTCCTTCACATCTTGCACTAACTCCTTCACATTTTGCAGTAACTCCTTCACGTCCTGCACTAACTCCTTCACGTCCTGCACTAACTCCTTCACGTCCTGCACTAACTCCTTCACGTCCTGCACTAACTCCTTCACATCTTGCACTAACTCCTTTACATCTTGCAGTAACTCCTTCACATCTTGCAGTAACTCCTTCACATCTTGCACTGACTCCTTTACGTCTTGCACTAACTCCTTCACGTCTTGCACTCACTCACATCTTGCACTGTCTCCTTCACATCTTGCATTGACTCTTTCACATCTTGCACTAACTCCTTCACATGTTGCACTGACTCGTTCACATCTTGCCTCACTCCGACAACATCTTGCAACTCCCATAACATCTTGCTCTCACTCACATCTTGCACTGTCTCCTTCACATCTTCCAGTAACTCCTTCACGTCCTGCACTAACTCCTTCACGTCCTGCACTAACTCCTTCACATCTTGCACTAACTCCTTTACATCTTGCAGTAACTCCTTCACATCTTGCAGTAACTGCTTCACATCTTGCACTGACTCCTTTACGTCTTGCACTAACTCCTTCACGTCTTGCACTCACTCACATCTTGCACTGTCTCCTTCACATCTTGCATTGACTCTTTCACATCTTGCACTAACTCCTTCACATGTTGCACTGACTCGTTCACATCTTGCCTCACTCCGACAACATCTTGCAACTCCCATAACATCTTGCTCTCACTCACATCTTGCACTGTCTCCTTCACATCTTCCAGTAACTCCTTCACATCTTGCACTCACTCCGACAACATCTTGCACTCACTCCGACAACATCTTGCAACTCCCATAACATCTTGCTCTAACTCCCTTAACATCTTGCACTAACTCCAATATCATCGTGCCCTCACTCCCTTAACATATTGCACTTACTCCCATATCATCTTTCACTGACTCCTTTAACATCTTGGACTAACTCCCTTCACATCTTGCACTAACTCCTTCACATGTTGCTCTAACTCCTTCAATAATAAGACAGCTACGTCGGTGACGAGGCTCAGTCCAAGAGAGGTATCCTTACACTGAAGTATCCTACTGAGCACGGTATCGTCACCAACTGGGACGACATGGAGAAGATCTGGCATCACACCTTCTACAACGAGCTCCGTGTGGCTCCAGAGGAGCATCCCGTTCTCCTGACAGAGGCTCCCCTCAATCCAAAAGCCAACCGTGAAAAGATGACCCAGATCATGTTCGAGACTTTCAACTCTCCAGCTTTGTATGTGGCCATCCAGACTGTTCTGTCTCCGTACGCTTCTGGTCGTACCATGGGCATTGTTTTGGACTCTGGTGATGGTGTCACCCACACTGTTCCCATCTATGAGGGCTACGCCCTTCCCCATGCCATAATGAGACTGGACCTTGCTGGCCGTGATCTCACTGATTACTTGATGAAGATCCTGACAGAGCGTGGCTACTCCTTCACCACCACTGCCGAATGAGAAATCGTCAGGGACATCAAAGAGAAGCTGGCCCTCGACTTCGAGCAGGAGATGGCTACAGCTTCCACTTCTTCCTCCCTGGAGAAGAGCTACGAACTTCCCGACGGTCAGGTCATCACCATTGGTAACGAGAGGTTCCGTTGTCCAGAAGCCCTCTACCAGCCATCCTTCTTGGGTATGGAATCATCCGGTATCCACGAAACAACATACAACTCCATCATGAAGTGTGATGTTGATATCCGTAAGGACTTGTATGCCAACACTGTTCTTTCGGGAGGTAGTACCATGTACCCAGGAATCGCTGACAGAATGCAGAAGGAGATCACTGCCCTTGCACCAACATCAATGAAGATCAAGGTCATCGCTCCTCCAGAGAGAGAAATACTCCGTCTGGATCGGTGGCTCCATCCTTGCTTCTCTGTCAACTTTCCAGCAGATGTGGATCAGCAAGCAGGAGTACGATCCATTCATTGTACACCTATCCATTGTACACAGAAAGTGTTTTTAGTGACTGATATTTCATAGACATTAACATTAAAGAATCACTATTAATCACCTAAAGGCCAAAGTGTATAATTGTCCTTCTCATCGTCAGAAATGTGTTGTGACTGAAATTACAAAATACATAATGATTGCTTCAGTTATCCTGATTATGTTCGTCGAGCGTTTGTGTATTTATTCCAATGTTGTTTTCTTCATTTGGCATTGATACATTTTCTTTGCTTATTTATTATATATTACATATCTTACGTCAATTCTACTATTGTCTACTTGGAATAGTTACAAAGAACGTGCGTTGTTTTGTGCGTTGTGCATGCTGTATGTTTCATGCAATCGTCAGTATATACAGAGTTGTACCACAAACTACAGTTACACAAGCTGAAAACGACATATCCCGTGTGAGTAATTGCACCGTTTTACATGCAAGCAACACAACGTTTCTTAGTTAGTTGTTATTTATGTTGCACAATTATACAAACACGTAACTTAAGGGGAGCTTTGATTGCATTCAACTCTAAAAAAATTATTTTCACATTTGGCAGTGTATGTCTATTGTAAGACTGGTAAATATTCTAGTCCTGCTTGACAGAGACATTGTGTCAAAGTGGGTACTTGTTTTCTAAATAAAACATTCCTTATCAGAAAATATCCACCTAAACTTGTTTCTATTTCATATTCGAAAGAAATAACACGATGAACATAGAGAAATGTTGTGGGGTTTTCACTTTATATACACAGCATTAAACAATCTGTTTACTGATACGTGAATGTAAAGTTAATGCGCTCATATATGAACCCCCAATTTTACAGACGGAAATACGGTTGTCGGTTATTATTCTAACTGGTGAAATAGTTCCTTTTTCTCGGTGATGATGATTCTGTACATGAGATTACCATGTCAGGGAACCAAAGGGACAACAAGCCTGACCACCCGATCCTATTACGTGGACTTGTGCGAAGAGAATAAATTGAACCTGGGCCTCGTTCTACAAAGCGATTGTAGTGCAACGACTGTCGTAAGTCTATGTTAAAGTATAGGAGTTACGGTCGTCTTAGGGTTACGATCGCTTTGAAGAAAGGGGCCCAGTTCTCATTTGCGCTTCACAAGATTTTAGTCAAATCAAAAGCCCGAAGATTGATTTTTGTATGCTTTGTTGAAACCAGCTCTGTAAATATTATGTAGGGCACCCTATTTCAAATTCAGCCTTGAGTAACTTTATGCAAATTCAGTTGTGTCTGAAAATACAGGTCCCTTTTCCGACTCTATGCACCTAGTAAAATTACATCGATGACTTTCTGTAGAGATCAATGCCCATAACTGTGTATGTTCCAAGATAAAAAAAGCATGTAGCAAGGGAAGTAAGTCTTGGAAAGATCATTGGTGGCGGCATTTTCAGAGGTTTGGTTGACATAAACATGTACCTATCCACAGATTCGAATACTAAGCATGTTTGAAGACAAGCAGTAACTTTGAAAAACTGTTCCGTTGTTGCAGTTCGGGGCTTAAAATCTGTTCGTCATATGCTGTGATATAGACCAATTCCTTTCAATGGAACCAAATTATTATTCGAAGATTCCTACATTTCCAAAATATATTTGGGGACGCATTGTGATAAATTCCTTGTGGTGTTGAGGCACGAGTGGGTATGTCATTAATGGTTTTTTTATAACACCAAACAGTATTTATGTAACGGGGATGGCACTTGGTCCTAAAAACTTCGTTAAGGGGGGTGCCGTTTTATTACCACACGGAAGTAATAGACTGCTTTACATGCTACTCAACTATTGGATAATTTGCTTCTAACTTGCGACATGTTATGAGGTATCAAAAAACCAAATTGCACCTGTAATTCACCAATTTAACACCTTCCAGTCATGGCCTTTAAACCACCAGGCTGGGTGAAAGGCAGCCAGTGAGCAAGCTTCACACTTTCCTTATGCACCAATCCTCAGCCAATGTAAGCCAATGGTAAGACAATAGACCTGACCTCATTCAGATTTGGCTACTTTGCATAGCAACTACTTTTGATATATGACCCGGTCTTGGCAATATATGCATCGTATGAAGATATAAACCCTTTCATTGACAATTGTATATATGTTTGAGGTTTTCTGAAATAATCACAAACAATAAATATTGTTGCAAGCAACGATGAGGGCTCCTTGGCTTGGACAATTTCTAGCCATTTGGTACCTGTCATGCAGATGTCGAAAGCAGTAAAGGCTATAGCTGATATGGATCATATCACTGTCAGTAATGAGAAATACTTCAGTACTAAACTTTGAATTCTTATGTTTGAGGGTTAGATACAAAGGATTGTGTTGTATGGTATGGGTAATTGCACATATGGTTTTGGAAACAGCTGTTGGCTTGATTAGAAATTCGAAGAAAAAGAATAATGCACGTTCAATTGCTAATAATTTATTTCTTTTACTGAATTGATGACATCCTCACCAGTTCTGACAAATTGATGGTGCTGTCTGAAAACATTTTAACTGGAATTACTGGACGTTCTATAAAATTAGATAATTTGTTTGCAAAGCTTGAATTGCATTCCTGGATCTGGATTTAAGAATATCATTTGTTGTCTCAGATTTGACAGCTCCTCGTCATTGTCAATTACATCTAGCGTTGAAATTCACATCGTCTCCCATATCTGCACGTGGACCACGCTTTGCAGTGGTAGTCTCTTTATAGGAGATATTTGTTCTCCCGCGTGAGCGCTCATCTGATTGTGAACTACGTGAGGGAAGTTGATCTGTATCATAAATTGTAAATGTGTAATGTGACTAACAAATTGCCTGCTTTTAAATTTAGTGCTATGACTTTTAGTGTTTTTAAATGACAATGTAATGAATACATGTATATGTTTTTGAAATAAAACTCATTTTGACTCTGTACTTACAATGTCTATTAATGCAGACTTGTTCTCGTCACTATATGGCTGGAATAATGCCAATGTGACGTAAAGCCCAACTCAAGTCAACTTATAGGAGATATCATGAGGGGAAAATTAAGCAGGCAAAGTGGCGCCAAGGCATCCCATGCACATGTTGAGATGTAGATATAGATGTAGATGTCATGAACATGTGACTGAATACTTACCTAATAGTTTTCTATTACTATCTATGCTGTCACGGTGAATAAACGTGTAGCAGGACTGCGTCAGTCACGCACAGACAACAGACGCTACTTTTGTTGTTCTTCAAAGGCCGATGATTTATTGGAGATATGGTATAGGTGAAAACGACAACCCTGAAACAATCAGGTGTACAATAAAATAAATGCAGCAATATACACATATCCAAACACAGATATACACATATAATTCGTACGTATGTCATAACTTTACAAAATAGTTGCTTCAGTAAACAATTACTGTGTACAAATGTATTTCATTTGATATACATGACATATATACAACATATAAACCTACCAGGTGTGTGGGCCTAGGTTTATTTCACACCTGGGGACGCTGCTGTATCTGTATTAAATGTTTGCCTGTAGAGAAAATAACAATAATATATACAGACATGCTAATGATGAACATATACAAAAGCATTCTCAGCACTGATACAGTAATCAAACACAAATTTGGCTGTAGCTGAGCAAGATATAAAACAATGCAAAATAAGACCTCATTCATTCATTCATTCATTCGTGCTTATTTTCATTCACCCATTTATGATTACAAAGCTATACTTGTGTTCATCCATTCATCACATGCTCACGTGGTTAACCTTGCCTTTTAATAATCATGTTACTAATATTACATTATAATGAATGTAGAGTATTTATCACCAACTTCACAGTACTAATTTAAGACTAACACACACTGATACAACTACAAGTTATATCTACAAATGATATACATGAACAATAAATAGATAAAATATCCAAATTACCTTAGACTATGATCCAAAGATACGATCCAAAGGTATGTCCAGAAAATGAACAAGACATGTTGACACACTGAAGATTGAATGTGGAGTGACCACAAACCTTGTAATGTGTAAAAAGTGTAAAGCTACGCTGATTGCCCAAGCTGGCTATAAAGACAAAAGAATGTAGGTGGGGAAGGGCTTATGTTATTGTACTGTGTGGTGAACATGCGGTAAGCATGCTCAGTGAACTGGCTGTGAGTGATAGTTAGTTAAGGCAGGCTAAGTATCATGATAAAATAAAATGACTAAAGCTGTGCAATGACATTTAAAGCATTTATTTACATGAATTCTAATCAATTTACAACATGTTAAAATATACAAAATCTGTTACTGCCACATACTTCCCTCCTGTGGAAAATGACGTCCACGTCATTCTTGGGGTTCGTCAATGAGTGAAAGAAGTGCTTTGGAAATGCCACTGCTGATGTGACCAATGACGCCGGTAGCAACTAACTGTTCTATGCGTCGACTCTTCTGATGCCAGTCTGGATCAGAAGTCTGGCACATCACATATTTCCCAGACGTCTGCCATGTCGGTTTCTTAGTTTGGCGTCCAGAACGTCGTGGAAGTGGTGTTGGTCTTGAGACAACTACAGGAGTTACAGGAGGAGATTCCCTTCCAAATGAGTCTTCTTGCTCTGATGTGTCTTCAGGTTCTGCTTCTGTGCAGTCTTCACTAGTATCAGTCTGCACGTGGTCGTCACCACCAGAAGCGTTACCATCTGTCTCAGCAGACACCTGGTCGTCACCACTTGTCTGTGAGATAGATGTATCCTTGTCCACAGTACTCCCACTGATGAAAGTCTCGTCATCAGGAACTGCTGGAATTATCAACAGATCTTCCTCCTCTGACTCATTGTCCTGAGTGTCTTCTGATTCCACTGATGATTCGGTGACTGGTTTGGTCGGTTTCCTGGATCTTGGTGCAGGTGTTGGCTTTGGTGTAGCTGGTGCGTTGGAAATGGGAACTGATCCTATAGACGTCCTGGATCTTGGCGCCGGTGCTGGCTTTGGTGTAGTCGGTGCCTCAGAAATGGCAATTGATCCTATAGGTAAGAGGTGATTCCGATGAAGGGTCCTCTTCCTCCCCTCTCCCGTTTCTCTCTGCACAACAAACACAGGGATATCCTGGTTTGGCTGCGAGAGAACAACAAACGGATCCTCTTCCCAGCGATCTGCCAACTTATGTTTTCCATCAAAGGCAAGCGCCTTTACTAGCACTCTGTCTCCAGTCTGAACAATCGCGCCACGCACTTTCAAGTCATAACCAGTCTTCTGTCTATCTTTGGCTGTCTCTGATGCTCTGGCTGCTAGCTCATAAGCCTCTTGAAGTTTCTTTCGAAGAGAATCACCGTATGATGAAACTGATCCATGTCCCTGGCTGGTTTCAATGCCAAAAGCCAGATCATTGGCAGGCGAGGCTCTCGACCAAACATCAAGTAAAATGGGGACTGGCTGGTGGATTCATGCCTAGTACTGTTATATGCATGGACAAGGGGAGCAACATAGCTCTTCCAATCCGTCTTCTCGTCAGGCTGTAGAGTTCCGAGCATGCTGAGCAGTGTCCTGTTGAAACGCTCAACCATTCCGTTGCCCATTGGATGATATGGAGTTGTCCTGCTTTTCTCCATTCCCAAGATGGTACATAGTTCCTTCATCAGACGGCTCTCAAAATTAGCTCCCTGGTCACTATGTATACGCTTGGGAATGCCATAGTGTAGAATGAAGTTTCTAAAGAACACTTCTGCTGTTGTTTTTGCAGTCATGTTGCGTGTTGGAATCGCTTGTGCATATCTTGTAAAATGGTCAGTTATGACAAGTACATACTGATGACCTCCTTTAGAAGCTTCTAGAGACAAAAAGTCAAGACAGACTAACTCCAAGGGCTGGGTGGTAGTTATGTTCATCAGAGGTGAACGAGCATTGGTCGGAGACTTCCTACGTAAACATCGGCCACATCTTTGAATGTAATCCTCCACATCCTTGTGCATTCCTGGCCAGAAGAAACAGTCACGAGGGAGCTGATAATGTGCGGCCTCCCCAAGATGTCCAATATCATCGTGCAATCCTCGCAATGCATCATCTATAAAGGCAGAAGGCAATACCAGCTGTTGTCGCTCTTGTCCATCCAGGATAACCTTTCTGTACAGAACTCCACTCTGTAATGTCAAGCTGTCAAAGTGCCGATAAAAAGCATTATTAGCTGGACATGGTGGATAATCCTGTCGTCTTGGTTTCTTCCTTGCTTTAACCAGCGCTATCCATGGTCTCAGAATGTCATCTGAAGACTGAGCCATTCTCCAGTCTCGCTGTGTCATTGCTGTGAGATGCTGTCCAGGTGGATCCATATCTGTGACCTCTGGTGATATGGAGAAGGATAGTGACTGTATAACAGGGTGGCCTTGCAGAGTATTGCATACTGCTCTAACTGACTCAGCCGGCATCTGGGACTGTTGATGGCAATCCTCTATTCCCGGGAGTCTGGAGAGTCCATCCGCATCCGCATTATTGAGGCCTGGCCTGTAGACAATGTCGAAGTTGTATGCAGCTAAAGCTGCCAGCCATCGGTGTCCTGTGGCATCAAGTTTGGCTGTGGAGAGTACATAAGTAAGAGGGTTATTATCTGTGTAGACAGTAAAGCTATTACCATACAGATAATCATGGAACTTTTCAGTCACCCACTTGAGTGCTAGAAACTCAAGGCGATGAGCCTGAATAGTTACCCTCAAACTTGCTAAGCCCTCTACTTGCGTAGCTGATGACTCTTTTAATTCCTTCCTGTTCTTGGTACAGAACTGCACCTAGGCCACAGGTGCTGGCATCAGTGTGCACCTCGAATGACTTGCTGTAATCAGCATATCCAAGGACAGGTGGTGAAGTGAGAAGATCCTTGAGCTGACAGAATGCTGATAGTTGAGACGGTCCCCACAGGAAAGGTTTATCAGCATCTGCAGTTCTTGTATTTCCATGTTTCTTGGGTCTTGTACTGGGCATTAAGGAAGTTAATGGTTTGGCAATCTTCGCAAAGTCTCGTACAAACTTACGGTAGTATCCTGTAAATCCCAGAAACTTTCGAACTTCCTCAGGATTTCCAGGAATAGGCCAATCCTTGATCCGTTGTACCTTATCTGATCAGCTTCTATACCATGTGTTCTGAGACGACATGTCCAAGAAATTTGATCTTAGTCTTGAAGAAGGAGCACTTGTCTGGGGTGAGCTTCATTCCAGTGTCTCTGACTCTTTGAAGGATCTGTTGAAGACGCTCCAGATGTTCGTCATAGGTTGTGGAGAACACGATAATATCTTCCAGGTAAATTAGACATATTTTGAGGTGGAGTCCATCAAAACACTCAGCCATGAGCCTCTGATATGTTGCTGGGCTATTGCAAAGTCCAAATGGCATACGGTTGTATTCGAAAAAACCTAATGGACCAACGGTGAAGGCTGTTCTCTCCTTGTGGCACTCTTCAGTTTCCACTTGATGATATCCGCTTTCATGTCCAAGGTGCTGTAGAATTTGGATCCTGCAAGGGCATCAAACATCTCCTCTATGCGTGGCAGAGCCGAGTAGGAGTCCTTTATGGTCTGTTGGTTGCTGTCGGAAGTCCACACACATGCGTAATTTTCCGCTTTTCTTACGCACCAATACAACATTAGATGACCAGGGTGAGAAGGAATGACGGATGACTCCACTTGTAAAAAGTTGTTGAAGATGTTCCTTCACTTCTTGGTACATGGCGGGTGGAATCCTTCTGTGCCTCTGCTTGAAGGGTCGGTCATCTTCAAGGTCAATCCTATGTTTCACTGTTGTCACATGTCCAATGTCCTGTTCTTCGCCCGTGGAAAATACATCAAGAAACTGTGAAATGGTTTCCTTTCCAAGTCTGAGTTGTTCAGGCGTGACATCAGCCTCATTGAAATCCATTAAGTCCATGGCCTGTTGTCCTTCATCCTGGGTAGGTGTTTTGGCTGGGAGATCTTCAATGGAGACAACTTGAAGCTCGCATAACAGGGCTCTTGTTGGAATAGATACAGTCCTTGTGGCGACATTAGAAACATGAACTTGAACCATGATCTTTTCATCGTGATGAAAATCGACAATGGTTGGTGCAATGTCTAGATCAGGTGGAATAGCAGAGTTCTTGGTCGGTTGTACAACAGCACAGGTGTCTTTGTAGACTATAGGCTTACACAAATATCCCTGGATAACCCTCTCAGTGTTAGGTACAATGGTAAAACGACCATGTTCAGCACTGCGAACCTTACCAAACGAATAGTTATGCCTTGCCAGTTCCCTCTCTTGTAAGAGCATATTGCGGAATGCCATATACCATGGTGTATGGATATCAGCCTTTTGAAGGAATCGGCTTCCATACTGATTCTTGCATTTATCCATGTAGCAAGATAAAAATATTTGTGCCTAGCAGCACTGGGACTGTGGGTGTTATACGGGGTATCAGGGACAACAAGCATAATGCAAGGCAGTTTAGTTGAGGGCTGTGACCTACACCCTGTACTTCAACCTCTATAAACCCATCATAAGGGAGATGCTGGCCATCTGCATAATTTCTATCTTCAGAATAGCATCTAAGGGCTGTAGGGTGTAGCTGGTAGGAGCGAACGTAAAAACTATGGGACACTGTTGACCCAGTATCCACAAGGCCTCTGCCTCATCCCATTTACAAAAACTGTTCCTTCATTAGGTTTACCTATCAGGTGGCTACCTGCTGACTGCTGTTGCTGGGTGGGCGTTTAGACCAAAGCTGGCTATGGTTTGCCCTGGGTCCCATAGCGTCTTCCCGTTTAAAGAGAACTTGGAATGATCCAGCCTAACTCGACATCCATACTGTAAGTGTCCTGGCTGCTTCATCTGAAGCAAATAGGCTCTTAAGTGTCTGGACATCCAGAACGATGCTGGTCCTGGTGGCCCTGAAGTTGGTTGATTCCGCCTTTTGAACCTGTGGTCCTGTCGGGGGCAATGACCAATGCTGCTCCTGAGATGGTGTTGTGGATGCCAGTGGCGATTCTGACCCAACCACTGTATTAAATCCCCGATGGCCATGTGAGTATTGCCATGGTGTGCTGTTGTCAGAATATGAAGTGTCCTGTTGCTTCTTCCAGCTCGGCAACTTCAGTTGTTAACTGTTTCAAGATCCCCTTGATCTCCTTCATCTCTGGATCCTGGACTGCTACAGCGGCCATACTGGGGCTGCAACCTTCTTCCCAGTCCTGTTCTCCTTTGCTGTAAGTCAGCCTCTGCTCGCCGAAGAGCCTCGCAGAAGATCTTCATAACTGCTGCCCTGGTCCAATACATGTGCTGTCAGATCCTCACAGATCTGGCTTTTCTTAGATCCCGACCATAGCTGGGTCATCAACATATCACCCTGGTCTCTAGTGGGATGGATCCCCGTGTGTTGCAGCCTCCGGTTCAGTAGGTGTTCGAGCCTACAATCCCATACAGCAACATCTTCTGGACTCTCCCTCTGCGTGCACCATGCTACATGCTAACAATGACTGGTTCCCTGTCAACACTGCCGAAAATACTTTCTAACTTTTGAGATGAGCTGTTTTAAATCAGCTTCCAGCCCTAGGCAACCTAGCAATAGTGGCTGCCTCTCCCGCGTAAAGAATGCTGCACAAAGTATTATTGGCAACAACTTGTTGAGACAACGATTTGTTCTGTAGCAAACATTCAACTTGATACTTCCAGACTTCGAATGAAGTCTCGCCCTTCTGTTCACCTGAGAAGGGATGGTAACCTTGGGGCTTGTGTCAGTTGTAACTGGTGACGGAAAACCAGAAGGAGATTGCTTCTGAAATTTTCCTGAACTAACTGCGCCTTGAGGTTCATCTTCAGCCTCTACCTTGGCCTGAGTGTAACTCTCGTCATCCATTGTACTAAGTCCTCGGGGCTTATCGGACTTTGGCCAGGTCTTGAGCGCCTTGAAAGCTCCAATCAGATTCTTTACTTCTTCTGGTGTTGGTCTCAGCTCGCAGTGACAGAAACGAGGGAAGTAGTCAAATGTAAACGAAGAAAAGCAGGTGTGGTAACCTGTGTAGGTAAACGTCCAAATGTTCGCGAAATGAGCTGGCCATTTGACTTCATGAAAGATGACAAACAAAACAAAAACCCCCAAAACAATTTAGGGCTAAATGCATGAGAAGGTGTTAGTTGTGACTGGAGTGCTTGGGATGGTCATGAATTGGCTGGGGCAGCAGAGTAAGGGGACACCCATAGGGTATGTCGACTAAACCTAACACAACGACTACCTATCTGTAATGAACCACAACATCAAGCCAACAGAAGGAAACACAATTACTCATGATCCATGAAACCAGAAGCCTAAACGCAGAGAGAACAAACCATAACCATAACCTGTTGAACAACACAACACCTATTTATGACATTAACGTAGTTGTTGGTCTATTTCACATGAATGGCTAAATGCACTTTATTTTGGTTTACTGCATGGAACTCAAACATTCATATAGGTTGGGTATTCCCCATTCACGCACACAATCACCGAGGTTGAGGTATAAACCCCCACCAAATAACAGCTACGTTTATGGAAATCAGTACTGAAGTGTATGAGCGCTCATTCTAAGTATTCACAACACATGTATGCAACAAGATCTAAATTGGTTAAGAAATATTGTGCACGCAGGCACAACCCGGGTACATGATATTCAGAAAATGTACAAGCAAAAATTCCAGAGCATGTTCAAACATTGACTTGCATTAAATAATGAACATGTGTACATGAATTCCGTGTTCAAATAATGGTTCCTTGAACCGCCGTTTGCAAACGTTGCTATATAACATCAGCACAGATCTGTACATACAGTGTATAATATGTGTAGTTCAACCTCTCACAATCAAGTGTCTCTATATCTGCAGGTAACAAGATACAAGTTGTATATATCACAGGACAAAAACGCACCTCGCGTCACGTTGTTACCGTTGATCACGTCATGGTTCCGCAGAGCGGTTGTGGATAGGATCTCGAATGTTGATGACAGCAAGCCTGCCCTCAAATCACCCTCCAGTTAGGCCATTCCTCACTGGAGGCTCCAATGTAGCAGGACTGCGGCAGTCAGTCACGCACAGACAACAGACGCTCCCTTTGTTGTTCTTCAATGGCCGATGATTTATTGAGATATGGTATAGGTGAAAACGACAACCCTGAAACAATCAGGTGCACAACATATAATAAAATGCAGCAATATACACATATCCAAACACAGATATACACATATATAATTCGTACGTATGTCATAATCCTTTACAAAAATAGTTGCTCTCAGTAAACACCACTGTGTACAAATCGTATTTCATTTGATATACATGACATATATACAACATATAAACCTACCAGGGCCTAGGTTTATTTCACACCTCGGGGACGCTGCTGTATCTGTATTAAATGTTTGCCCGTAGAGAAAATAACAATAATATATACAGACATGCTAATGATGAACATATACAAAAGCATTCTCAGCACTGATACAGTAATCAAACACAAATTTGGCTGTAGCTGAGCAAAGATATAAAATAATGCAAAAATAAGACTCATTCATTCATTCATTCATTCGTGCTTATTTTCATTCACCCATTTATGATTACAAAGCTATACTTGTGTTCATCCATTCATCACATGCTCACGGTTAACCTTGCCTTTAATAATCATGTTATTAATATTACATTATAATGAATGTAGAGTATTTATCACCAACTTCACCGTACTAATTTAAGACTAACACACAATGATACAACTACAAGTTATATCTACAAATGATATACATGAACAATAAATAGATAAAATATCCAAATTACCTTTAGACTATGATCCAAAGATACGATCCAAAGGTATGTCCAGAAATGAACAAGACATGTTGACACACACTGAAGATTGAATGTGGAGGACTACAAACCTTGTAATGTGTAAAGTGTGTAGTTACGCTGATTGCCCAAGCTGGCTATAAAGACAAAAAGAACGTAGGTGGGGGAAGGGTTTTATGTTATTACTGTGTGTGGTGAACATGCGGTAAGCATGCTCAGTGAACTGGCTGTGAGTGATAGTTAAGTTAAGGTGCAGGCGGTGATCATGATGATAAAATAAAATGACTAAAGCTGTGCAATGATATTTAAAGCATTTATTTCATACGAATTCTAATCAATTTTACAACATGTTAAAATATACAAAATCTGTTACTGCTACAAACGTGCAACAACTTGCCTGCGTCTGTGGGGAGTCGATAACAAACAGCGCGAGTACCTGTTTGAAAGGAGCGGCCAGCAATCGTCCCCGCGCTTTTCTTCAGATTGTCGCATTTTTGCACGGGTAATCTGGCCGTGCTGTAAATGTGGAGAAACTTATGACACATCTTCGGCAATCGTGGTCCTGAAGGCCGGCGATATAAAGAAGTCCCTTATTTTATTAAATCTGTCCAAACTTTGGGGTTTTGAGTGTAAGTATCATTTTATGATGACTGGCAACGTTGCTGGAATCCTTCTTGCGTGATTTCTGGTGCGGTGTGCCTAGAGTTGTGGGTCAGTTTGTTTGGCACTCATTTTCTTCTCTCATTCCAGCGGTACGCCCTCAAATAGGGTTTTTCCTTTTTAGCTACCATACGCTGTGTTCACATGGATAATGTTGCACAGATGTTTTGATCAGCAACTTTGATGGCGCTCTTTCCTTTATGACATCAATAAATGATCAACCAAAGTTCCCTGTTCGCTTCAGTGCGCTGCATGTGCCAAATTTAATTTGTCACAAAATCGCAAAGAAGCTCGTGGTAGTTTTTGAAGACAACTTTGCTCCAGAAGTAAGCGTCCAATATCGCGTGGCCAACATATCCACATAGCCACATCTGACGACGCCCCCGCAAGCCGCCACAGACACCCGGCTACGCCAAGCTCTGGAAAGGCGTAGCCTTTGTAGTTTCAGTGTTAGCACATTTTGGGAGGAAAGTAGTCGGGATTTTGTTTTTTTGAAAAACACCAGCAAAAGGTTCAATCCAAAAATAAGCGGCCAAACGGCGTATCGCAGTAGCCGACCTCGACCCGTCCAGGCGAAATTGTAGACATGTTGATAGCGCATCTGCTCAAAGACATTTGGCAGTCATTGGACCAGTAGGCCTTTCTGCAGATATTTGCTGCTGAAACTGTATTTTTAAAATTCAATTTTGGAATCATCTCGGCCCCTTGACATTGGGCACAGAACCCTGGAGATCTTTGCAGAAACAACTTCAGTTAACCGTGGGCGATTCCATCCACCGGTGCTTTTAAAAGAGTGGGTACAAAACAAGCGA